TGGAGAATAGACTCATGACATGACCCCCTCAACTACCACTTGTAGGTGAATGCAGGACTGAGTTTGAGTATCAGCAGGTCACAGCTGCTCTAAGAAGTAGCAGTTGTCATGCTGGGGTTAGCAGGGGCCACACTGGGTGAGGGGTTTCTTGACATTTGCTTGGTTTTGTGAAGTTCATCACAAAGTGTTAACCTGTGGCATAGGACAAGTAATATTCCTGTCTTAGTTTATACCCAGTTCAATTCAACACTGAATCTTGTAAGAGGTGTCAAGCATAGTCAAACTGAATGTTTTGTTTAATTTTAACTGGATGCTAAGGGGAAACTTTTACCTGTTTGCTTAGCTACAATCAGTGTTGACTTAAAGAGAACAGAGACTATACGAGACTCATCATATGGAAACATTCCTAAACTATCTGTTTGTTGGTAGGTGTTTCGTTTCATAGAATCATAGAATATCCTGAGTTGGAAGGGACCCTTAAGGATCATCAAGTCCAACTCTTGACACCGCACAGGTCTACCCAAAAGTTCAGACCATGTGACTAAGTGCACAGTCCAATCTCTTCTTAAATTCAGACAGGCTTGGTGCAGTGACCACTTCCCTGGGGAGCCTGTTCCAGTGTGCAACCACCCTCTCTGTGAAGAACCCCCTCCTTATGTCAAGTTTGTTTGTTTTTCTTCCCAGTTTATCTTATGTCCAGAAATTCACATGTAATTAAGTTACAAAGAAATTACCAACCATCAGATCTTTACCATTTCAATTATTTTGAGGATTGTGAAAAATGGCTGTTTTCAATGACATGGCTCCTTGAAATTACAATGGGGTATTTTGGCAAATATATTTTCTCCAGTTGTTAATCAAAATGTAGTGGGATGTGGAAATCACTGAAAGCTGTGGAAATGAACAACAACAAAGGCTCATTTTGAACTTCCCACATCATGTATTCTTAAAGAGAAATCTTCTGTGTATGGTGACCAGTTTCTGTCACCACAAGGGAAATACTTCAGTGGTGAAATATGGCCCAGGTGTTGGATCTATCTTTTAGTCCCATTGAAAGGGATTTGATTAATGCCAAAACAGAAAATCTGAAGTAGAAAAAAAAAAATAAAGCTAAGTGGAATCATTCATACCACTGTGATATGGTTGTGATGGTGTGTGAAACTGAATTTTTATGTATTACTTGTAATGAGGAGGGAGGGAAGAAGGGGGGTGGAGGAAATGATAACATCTTCTCTTCAGCTTTTCCAAAAGGAAGAAAGATTAAAGTGGGAAGGAAATTTAGTAGTCTCCTTCTGCATAATGAAGACCTATGTCTAATAGAAGATAAAGATGGCATTTTCATTTCAGGTAGTTCTGAGAAAAGTTATACAAATTATAACCTAGCACAGCAAGGGTCTCCTTTGATGGTATGGATTTTCTTGTGTTTTGTTTTAATAGATGGAAACCTGATGTGCTGTTTGGATACAGGGAAGAACAGAACAACATCTTACTACTGGAGTTAATTATTGCTTAATACATTGCTGTTATCACTGTGCAGAATCAGTGAATTTTTTCACTTGCTAGACAATATAAATCCTGAAATAATCAGCCTGTAATTTTACAAGAGAATGAATGGTACCATCTAAATAGAAGGAAAGAAAATTGATGCTAGAATGTTCTGGATGATGGACTGGTTATCATCTGGCCCTCAGTTTTCTCTCTAGCTCTTCAAGTCTACACAGACTCATACATGCAATTACTAAAATAAGAGGGCTGAGAGTAGTTTGGAGATTTGTATCGTAACCCTAAAGGAAAATACTTTTGTACTATTATCATTAGGCTGATATATGAATTCTATTGATAAAAGAAAGAAAATGAGAGGCTGAGGGAACTGGATTAGAGAGTAGGAGGGGACCTAAAAGTAGCTTTGCAGCATAGATGAAACATCTTTTGTCAAGAAGATAGAGCCAGGCTTTTTGCAGAAGTGCATGGTGGGAAGGCAAGAGACGATGGAGAAGAAAACAGGTTCTGGCTGTATGTAAGAAAAAAACTTTTCTTCAGTGAGGACAATCAGGAACAGGTTATGGAGAGAGTTTGTATGGTTTCTGTCTTCAGAGGTTTCCAAGACCCAGCTAACCCTCAGAAACCTCATAGTTGTTCTTGTTGTGAACAGGAGGTTAGGCTAGATATCTCTTCTAGTCCTTTACAGCATGAATTATCCTATGATTCTATGATGTTAATTCTCCTGAATCAAAAATAGAGGTTTTGTGCTTATTTTTTTTTTTATAATTTTGTATACTAATCCTATTGACTTAGAAAACAGTCAAAATTTCATTAGAGCATTGCCTACATGACAATTCCATTGCCTACTTTTATTCCTGTGTCTTCACTCATGAATTTAAACTGGAGAGATCTAAAAAAAACTACTATAATACTTCTATATAGTAACAAACATGAGAAAATGTACAAGACAGTCTTTTATAATTTCATTCTAATTCAAATAACGTTTTTCTTTTTATTTCAAGTAATCATAATTACATATGAATGAAAACGTGAAAGCACAACCCTTTTATAGACCCATACTTTTCTGTTTCTGTTTCAGATAGTTAGTAAGCAATCAGATGTATTCTTTGATGAGTGCTTCGTCTGTTTCTTACATTTGTAAGAAGTCTTTTAGCTGTAATGGCTATAATTATTTTTAATGTCCTAATGGTTACAGACTGAGTTTTGGGGTGATCCATTTCACACTTATTTATTATGTTATTTTTCTGCTCAATAAAATTTATAGATAATCAGTTTCTTCCCATTAATATTGAGGACAAAAAATATTTCTGATCATCAGCGCTGTTAGGTCAAGGAATTTAACATAGACCGTGCAACTGGTGTCAGCAAAAAGAGGATTAAGGAGAAGGATTTAATTCATTTAACTGTAGCAGAAAAAGTCAGAAATGGCCTAAGCAGTTAATTGCTTGTGACATAATTGTTTGTTTATGTCTCTAATATTCCTGTGGTACATTTTTGAATGATAGATCATTTAAGTTGACTGGCACATCTGAAAGATTAACATTATACCAATATTCAGTTACCTTGTTCTGTAACTTAGCTAGTGTAAGAGGCAGTTTAACTGAAAAATGAATGCTAATAAAGTGCCTGTTTAGTAATTCATTTTGAAAACCGTTTGACCTTAACTAGAATGAAAGTAGACTGTAAAAATCATCATAGATTCCCTTCCTTGAACTTTTCACAATGCTGAAAAATGACTGAGGGAAAGAAGCAAGATCCAGTTACTGTACCCTGTTTGTACAGCTGTACTTCATTGAGTGGAGGCTTGTGTTACACACAGTTTGTGATAGGAAGTAAATGCTTTTAAAACAACTAAGGAGACAGGTCTTTAACCTCCACCTTTTCAGATGCTTTATTCACTCATTTAGCTTCTGTCGAGGTCTTGGGAAACATTTCAGATACAAATTATTATTGAGTACTGAAGCTCACCTGAATAATTCATCTCCTGGTGAGCTCATTAGAGAGAGAAGTTAAGAATTTTTTTATTAATATTTTATTTATTAATTAATTATTATAATTATTATTAGAGAGAGAGATTACTAATTATTGATACAGAGAACATTTGCTGTTTCAGGGACAAATACGTTTAAAGGAAGAATTCTCAGACTGAATATTAAGTGTGGTTTATGATAGATGAAGGTAGAGTTTTAATTCAGCAATGGTAATGATTTTCAAGGACTTAGAGGACATTCAGAAATGATGTTGTTATGTAGTCTGTCAAAAATACATCAAAATTCATTATATTTTAAAATTTTAATTTCTAACGTAAGGCTTTTAACTCCTGTTACAAGACTGTTTAGTCATATTAAATGGTGAAGATATTTTAAGGTTCTTTAAGGGGATTTTTGGCAGTGCTTCAAATTGCAAGAACACGTTAATCACCAGACCTAAACTGTTTGATGTAAGCTTGGCACTAGATAATTTCAGGCATTTACACACTATAAGATCATTCTGTGAATTAATTTCACATATCTGCCAAGGGCACTTCTCTAATTGCTCTGGTGTAAGAAGTCAGTGGCAATGGCAGCATGCAGTTGATGGTCAGCTAGATAACTTTTAATTTCTGTAATCAGCTGAGGCTGTGTACATTTAATCCTTTGAAATATATGTGACCTTGAATTTAGTTTCATGATAAATATATATTATATAAATATATATATACTGCTATATAATGCCAAAAAAAACACATTATTTTGTCTGCATTAACCACCCATTTTCACATTTTGCTATAATTAACATCTTCTTCATAGTTTGTAGCACTATATCTGATGGCCATGAACATTCCTGGCTTTCATTTCTGTTGATAACCTCCCACTTAAGACTGGTCAGATATAAATATTTACTGCAATGAGGCCACTCCAATGAGGCACTTAAAGGGAAAATGCCTTCATTTAATTTAATCCAAAATTAGGATTTTGAAGTATTCTTCTTCATTTTAGTACATCAGAGGTGTCATGACTTCATAACACAACTGGAATTAGTTTTACCCTTATTCCAGCAACTTTTTAGAACCACAACACAATAGAGTAACTGCTCTCCTTTAGCTGAATCTGGAGTTTCCAGCAGTTTTGAGCAAACAGCCATTTGTTTTTCCATTTGTGGAAAAGCAGTGGGCAGGCAATAGTTGCATTTCATGGTCTGGGGTACAAGTGGACTTGAAGATTTATGTGATTTTATGTGAAAACCATAAGCATAACAGCAGATATCAGTTAAGTTGTTTAAACAGTCAGCTGACATTTAACCCAGTCTAACCAAACTCATCTCTGGACATTAGTTTTTATTTCCTGCTATACTATATTATATTATGGTAAATTGTAAATTGGCATTGTATTATGGCAAAGAGTAAATTGGGGATTTAGTTCCTTTTAGCTTAAGGAAAAAAAAAAAAAAAAGCCATAGGAAACAAATGTTGCTTTGTTCTCTGGTATATGCCTCATTAGAAATTATGTGTTTTGCAGAGGTTAACATACTGTGGGCAGCACACCAGGTACATCATAGTTCTGAAGATTACAATTTATTCACAGCTTTGAGACAATCTGTACTGCAGAAATACACCTCCTGGGTAAGTTGCACAAGATTTGAAAAACAACTTAATATCACCAAGATTTAGTAAAAGTGAAAATATTTCCCTTCAAATAAAAACATGTAAATTATTTTATATGTTAAACACTGAAAAGCACAGATGACTTTCAGATTCTTCAGTTTCATAAGTTTTAAAAGTACATTCATTAATGATTTTATAGCAAACTTGAAAAGTGATACACTGATTAATTTTAAGAAGGGTAATTTTAACTCTTTCATAAATTCATAACTTTCCAGGAAAAATGTGACTTTTTAAAAACATTATTTAGTTATTCATGCATCAGTGCAGGAGAAGATCAGAATATAGTATAACTACTCTAGAATATGTCCATGTAGCTGAAAGTAGCAGAGAAATAAGAAAAGATTGCTTTGGACGTGCAAACAGATTTATTTTTGTATCTGCTTCATGTCATACATCAGCACTCCAGTAAGTCAAAGAAATATGCCACCACTTTTATCTAGCTTTATTTCAGACAAAATGTATTGTAAATAATGATCTTTGTATGCATCTGTGTATGAAATTAAGATAAGTACTCATTTATAGATTTAATTGAAAATACTACCCAGTTTTGGGCACAAGGTAACTGCTGCTTTTTATCATCTGCTCTCTCATATTCTCTTATGACTGTTTTTTTAAACTCATTGTGGTTTCTTAGTGATTTTTTTTTTATTTTTTTGTTTGTTTTTGAAGTATAAAAACTTCAAAATTCGAACTCTTAGGATTAAATTTCAGAAGTAATTTTAAATATATTTTTATAGATAGAAGATATATAAAAGCTGTCCTCCAGTGAGATATAATGGTGGAATAAACATACAGTCCTCTGTGAATCTCTATGACTAGCCTATGAGCAAATGACTCAAACCCAAGGGCGTGCACTCACAAAAATCCAAATCCAGTGTAGCTCCATCAACTTCAATGAAGTTTGGATTTATGTTCACATAACTGAGAATGGGTTTAGTCTGTTGTTCTTAGTTGTTTCAAGCATATAACATTAGATAAGTTTAAGCAGTAGGTTCCAAAAAAGAATTGAGCTTTTCTAGAACTTGTGAAAACTCTCTCTTAGTTTTGCTTCTTAAAATATTCTCTGTAAATTATTATTTTTATTCATAAAATAGTCATCTGATTTTAGTACCAGTGCTGCAAATTTAAGTGGCCATTATGAACAATAGTCAAAGTATCTCTGTCACAGCCCCACTTTCTGTGTAAATACTGCCATGTTGAAGATTTAACTTTGAACATTTTACCCATTGGGACCATATGTACAAAACAATTTGTATGTGAACAAAAACAATAATTCAAAAAAGACAGAAAGCCTGTGTGTGTACATATGGGTGTGTTTATGAGTATTTTGTCTGCCTGAGTGGTTTTGAGGGTGATACCTCAGAGAGTACAAAATATTCAGGAAGGCCAAGGCGTCTGGCCATCTTAGGTTCTAGAGACCATCCTCAGGACCACACTAGTATCACCTGTCAAAAAATATATGTGTTTTTAAAATTGATTGGTTTTGAACAAAGGGAAAACAACATAGAATCTATAATACTTTTGTGTGCAGTTTTTTTCTGCCAATATTTGATATTAATCAAAACATTTTGTTAGTATAAATATGGGGATTTTCCTCTCCCCATAACTTTTGGAGAAAGAAAACTACTACACCTTTCAAAGCCTAAATGTGCACAAGCACTATTCCTGCTAATTCTTGCACTTTTATTTTTATTTTTTTTTGGACTGCCAGACTTGTCCAGAACCCCATAGATGCTTCAAAACTGAAACCCAGTGAAATCTTTAGTTATTCTCTGGGAATGATTTATGTCACTGAATCTGTACTGTTGAATGCAGCTTCAGATCCAGTTTTGTGGACGCTGTGAGAAAGTTGTGGTGGATGATGTGGGATTTTAAGACTGTTCTGTTGCCAGCTATGTATATGTTTTAAGTTAAGGAGTATAAGATAAATAAATTAGAATATCAGTCTCTATGGGTTGTGCTTGTGCTGACTGAAAAGATTTGAAATGAAAAAGAGAAAAGTGTGCTTTAACTACAATCAGTGGTGTGAAATGTACTCTTGAAATTGGAACCAAATGTCTATTACTTCATGTCATTTGCACACAAAACATTTCCCTTTGTCCAGTAGAGGAGAGATGATGCAGACCTAGTGTTAGACCAAGAGATGGTTTTGAAGCCCATTTGGGGAGGAAGTAGATGGAAAGAATGTATATTCATTTTTAAGAGAACATCAGGATGCTAAGGTTGTATGCCTTTTTGCTACTGATGAAGCACCTAGTTAAAGTGTAATTGTGAAAGAAGAATGTAGCATATACACCTTGAAAAGTTTTGGCTTAATTCTTTAAATACCAGTTCTTAACTTTCCTTCCAAGGGTAAGATTTATTTGCAAATATTAGATCCATAATAACTTGATAGTTTTAAACTGTACTAAGGTTTTAATTATGCTTTGTTGATTTTAATTCAGTGGAAATGTTTGTATATAAATTTCAAAAGGGTAATGGGTAACACTTTTTTTCCGGCACAGAATCACAAATTTGACTTCTTTTCTATTGAGGAGTCTGACAGGTCTTGGATCTGTAAAGGATGCTTTTATTATATTTACCTTTATTTCCTGAGGAATCATCACAAAAGTATACCCCAATGTCAGCTGCCATGGAGGCAGTTTTCCTGTGGATCCTCACTGTGCCCAACAACCCCTTTGCCTTGTGCTGATGGTGAGCCTGAAAGATCAACAGGTAGCCCCAGTGACACGTCCTGGAGAGAGGTGGGCTCAGCACTGGATCTGTGCAGGAAACAGCCCTTCTGCTAAACCTCAGGATCTTCAGACTTTTCCCTTTCATTCTTTGTGGAAGCATTCATAAGCTTTTGCTTACAAAAGAGAGACAGAAAAATAGGTCATGACCAATGCAGAGAGCATGTAATAATGTGGTGGACACACATCCTTCCAAAAGGGCCGATGCTTTAATTCTTGAGGCATAGTTGTGATGCAGCAGCCCCAGATATGAATTCCTCTCCACCCCCTCAGTAAGTGCCTTTCCCATCAGGTTATCAGTTACTGTGGCTGTGCCTCAATCTCTGTTGCTGAACCCACAAGTGAGAAAAGATCTATGAGTGTGATAAACATTTTTTCTTGAGTTTTGACCAGAAATTCCATCTTTGAGCCAGGAAATGTTTTCTCCTACAGATTAGTGAAAGCTGGTATGTTCCCATGAAATGTTTTGATTTGGTGAATTGGCATTTCCAGTGAAAAATACTTAGTGATTTTTATTTTTTTTTAACTGACATTGATCTTGTTGCAGTGGAACCATAAGTAGGAGATTTATTTTTTTATTTTTAATTTTTTTAAGAGTAGTTTTCATTTCTCCCTATGGGTTCTGATTTTGTGAATGACCTTTCAAATCCTTTCTGTCCAAAATTAAGCTTACATTGCAAGGAAACATGAGGCAGTTAGGAAAGCATTCTCCCTTGTCAATCTGAAATTTACCTATACGTTTATATAAAATTTTCCTCATCTCACAACTCAGGAGGTGGTAGCAGTACTTAGAAGAACTTCTAAGTAGTACTTCTAGTACTTACTGAATATGAACCTTCCTTTGCCTGAGTCACCAGTAAATACAGTCAAATTGCATATGTTAATTTTAGGGAAAAAGCGTATAATCTTTAACTCTACTTTAAATCCAGCAACCAATTCTATGCATAATCTGAACACAATTTTATTTTATTTTATTTTATTTTATTTTATTTTATTTTATTTTATTTATTTTATTTTATTTATTTTATTTATTTTATTTTATTTTGTTTTGTTTTGTTTTGTTTTGTTTTGTTTTTTTTGTTTTATTTTTTATTTTTTTATTTTTTATTTTTTATTTTTATTTTATTTTCAACTTCCTTTCCATTCCTTTTGAAAATTTCCTAGTTTTATCATGTCATTAGACAGATACAATCAGTAATGAGAAAACTGCATTAGCCTTACCAGCCACGTGTCCTACTTCTTCATTGGCTTCATTGTAAGATGACCTTTGAGAAAAGCTATGCCAGCACCCTGGATGTTGTGAGACAAATATCTTCCAATCTATTCTTTTTAGAGCTTCCCCCACTTTTAATAATTAAATACTAAGAGGGCTAAGGTTAGTGGCAGGAAGCAAAAGAATCTCAGACAAGAGACTGACTCTATGTCAGTGTTGAGGTTATTTCTTCTAAATTGTGGGAGATTTACACTGCATTTCTGTCTCAGATCATGGAGAATCATGTGTTTGAAAATAGTTCTTTTATTCGGTGCATAAGATATGCATTAAGTATTTAACTAATACATACCTCTAGTCCAAAATTTCATGCCTAAATGCCTTTGATGGCATTTACTAGCTCCCACCTTCAGTAAGAGCTGATGTGAACTCTTGTGAGTTTAATTAGACCAAATGATTCTTAGGGATTGAATGTGAAAATATCACACGAATATATTTTCTTTTTTTGTTGTTGTTTGTTTCATAAATATTTCACAAGTGCTTCAGTCTTCAAGGATCAGACTGATCCAAACAAGGTTTCTTTCCAGTGCTTTGGTCTTGTTCCAGTGTTGAAGCCAGCAGACCAAGCTGGGATTGGAGGGCCTTGGTACTCTTGACAGTGAGAAACTATTGTGGTGATTTTCTCCAGAGCATCAGTCACATCAAAGGGATGGGGATGCATTTGTTTCATAGCCCCAGCTTGATGTCTTACCTATTGGGTAGATCTCTTGACAAAAACTGTGGGAATATCATAATTAAATACTGTATAATACATGTACGTGCCATTTTTTTTTTTGCAGACCTATGCTAAAAGAATTTATGGCTCAGGAGGCCTGTCATGGCTATCTTATTGCTTTCTCTGATATTCAAAGACTTGATTTTGTGAGAAGGACAATAGGAATTTGAATCTGTACTTTAGGGAAGGATTAATTTCTCAGAGCAGCTGGTGTAACATAAGGTAAGGTAGAAAAAAAGAAAAAAAAACAACAAAACACCTTTGCTCTGATGAAAGAAGACTGACTTCTTAACATGTGAATGTCTTGTATGTCTCATCCTATTGCTCAGCCAGTTAAGAAACTATTTGTGAAATTACTGGGACTCCACTCTGTAAGAAAACATTATGTTTCCTAAGGAGGTAATATGCTGAAACTATTTTCATGCCAGCACATCTTTAGAACCCAGCAATATATCAGGGCATCAAGAGAGATGCTGTGAGGAAGTTAGGGTGAGAAATTATAATTAATTTTGAAAGTGGAGCAAACTGCCTTACCCTCATGATGCTCATGGAGGGAGTTCAGATGGAAAGGCTATAATGCTATAAATTCCTGCCTTGCTTATTCTGTGATAATTCTCCCCTTTAAGTAAAACCTTCATGTCAAGGGTACGTTGCTGCATGCTACATATAGTGCAAAGAATAAATGTCTCATCTCAGGATTTTTAAGTTCTTTTCTTGATTTTGCTGCTTGCTCACTTTATGACTTTTGGTAAATCACTTTCACTGAAATCTGTCCCACCTGCTATTCCATGTCTAGCAGTAACATAATAATCAGTATGTACTCTATATAATGTCCACATTACAGAGGTTTTAGAAGATGAAATTAAATTATCTTATGAAGTGCTTTGAGCTCCTGAAATTGTACTTCATTATATCACCACAACTTTAGTGCAATAAATACAATGTATATTTTCTTTTTAATTTTTCAGATGTTCAACTTGCCAATGGCTCTTTTCATTCCACCATCAGTGTTTGCTGTTCATCTACAGTTTAATCTACTTTACCAGTTTTGGATACATACAGAGGTAAACTGTACTGGTTAAAAACTGGTAGGTTTTTAAGCCATACCTAAACAGTTAGCCTGGAGCAGTGTCCTGGAAATCTACTAGCAGCTGATTTATTGTGTAAGAAAAATCTTTGTCTGAATTCTTTAAGGAGAAACATCTGTTCATTTTTATTCCTTTTGCTGAATATATATTGCTAAGTTTATAAGAAGCAATGAGGCCAGTTGGTCCCAATTAGATTAAAAATAATAATAATAATAACTGTAAGGAATCAGAACTTTTTAATATTTTAATACAATATTTTCCTGTCTTGCAGCTTATTAAATATTTCTGGCAGATACTGAAACTGATTTTATTTCTAAGATAAATATTTTAGAGAAAAATATCCAAACTACAGTACTTCTTAAAGACCATTTAGAGTTAAAACTTAAGATATTGTTTCCTTTTTAATGCAAGTAGTTCTCAGATGAAAAATGTTATTTAGTTATCTAATAGCTATTTGCTTATGACTGCACCTATTTATTTGTTTTGTGGGTATATAGGCAAAATGTATTTTACATACATATAGAGTTAATTACCCACTGTAATTTGTAAGTAGTTTTCCATACTTCTCAGGTAGTTGGACAGCCTTTCATTCTCACTACAGTAGAGGTGTTTAAAGGTTTTGCATGTTATATGGCAGTAGCATGTATGTCAGTAGCCCCTGCTGGGCTGCAGGCTAATTACCTCTGCAACCCTCTTACTCCCTTGATTACTCTCACTACTCAGATGCTTTTTTCCCTCTGTAGTTTCATTATGTCATCTATAGGAAATTTATTTTGGAAAAACATATATATATATATTTATTTGCTATTTTTTTAAATACTGTTTTTATTTTCTCTTCTCTGTGTGCTTGCTTAACAACAAAAAAAAAAGAACAATAATAATAATAAAAAAAAATAATAATAAAACTAAGATGTGCTTAAAACTACTAAGTACTTACAGTGGCCCAATAACAAACTTCTACTGTTGGCATTACCGTTCTATTGGGCAAATTTCTAAAACCATTAATATGTGTCTCATATTCTGCAACATTACATGAATAGCGAAGGTTTACAATAAAATGTAACGAACATCACCAGAACTGGCATAAACTCAAGCAGTACACAGTTAATGTCAAAATGTTTGGAGCAAATTTGATCCAACACTTTGAAATTATAATAAATAAATACTCTGAGTCTCATGGTAGCAAAGTTTCTTTGACCATATCTTAGGATCTCCAAACTGCTTTTATGATGTTTTAAGTAAAATATGTGCCTTGCTTGCCTTTTCTTTGCTGTCTGAAGCCATTCTTACCTCATCTGAGGTGCCTTCAATGCTTTGGTGTGTATCAGTAACTGAATGAATCCTGCAACTGGTGTCACAGTGTGTGTATAAAGTTTCTAGAGTTAATTTCAGAGGCTTATGCATTACCTACACCCCTCTAAAGTGCTAGATCCTTCACAGGGCTTAGAGGAAATTTTCATAGTGTATGTGCAAGTGTAAGTTTAGACCATAGTCTAAACAGGAATAAATTTCAGTCACAATGAAAAGATAAGTACCCTTTACTACTAAATTATTGTATCAGTAGGAAAACAATGTATCTTTTATACTGATCCAATTGATCTAATCATAGATCTTTGTTTACAAAGGAGATATTCTTAATGTTGATATTGTTGAATTTGTAGTGCAAATGAAATCAACTGAAAAATGTTGAAGTTAGGCTTTAAGATCAAAACTCATGTCAAAACAGAAACAGGGTTACACCTGTTTAACATGTTTCCTGCTCTCAAGGACAAGGACCTAACAGACAAAAGAAGGGAAAGAAAGGGAAATAGCAGCTATTGTAGTCATGGAGGTTTATATCACACACTATAGAAAATGTGATCCTGGTTCAGTGACTGCTGCTAAACCTTGATCTGAACACTACGAGATTCATCATCCCCAGCTGCTCTGGGAGCCTGTGCTGGCTGCTGATACAGTGTGGCACTATGTGTCATTAGGGGGTCCAGAGGAGATGCCTTTCATCAGTCATATTCTGCCACTAGAAGATGTAATAGTTTTCTTAAATTGTTTTCCAAAATGCAAGAGGATTTGTTAAGAAATGATCAATTTATCCTCAGATTTCTATTACTACTTATCAGTATTCATATTTCCTTAGGCAGAATTTGGGCCTATATTGACTAGTCAAGAATGTTTGGAAACCATAACTTCACTACTTTCAATTACACATCTTCGTCCTTCAGAAAAATAAAATCTAGTAAGATACAGTAAAAACGCCTTGTTCTATAGTAATCGATTTCTTTTTTTCATCACACTGAATGTCTTGTGCACAATTTAATGTTTTATGAAAGAAAAGATACATGATATTTAAATAATAGGAAAGAAAAATTTTATGAAACTTCCTGTGGGAAGATATTTTATTTCAGTCTAGCTAGGTTTGAGTTTTTGCTGTTGTTGTTTAAAGAAATAACTCAAATTGAATTTAATAATTAAAAAGAATTATTGTGCTTTGCTGAACCTTTGTTGTCATGTTTCAGCCTAGAGCGAACATTCATAGCCAAAGTATGATCCCTGATATTTTCCCAAACTTTAACTTGTTGTTTCAAACAATGTTCAGAGAAGTTTCCTGTATTAACACTTTGGCCTTCTTCAATATTTATCATGTCAATTCTTGTTCTTCTTTTCTATTAGAATATCAGGCATGGTCCATTTCATTTTAACTCAGTTAGCTCATATATTCCTTCATAGACAGTATACCGAATCACAAATATCAAAAGTACCTACTTTTTGTCTCAGACTTCCCTAGTTCCTGTATATTTGGTAAGCTGTTGACCTTTTAGGTATAATAGTACAGAATTCTAAACACTTTGAATAAGGATTATACTACACCATGTTTTAATAGTAATAAAAGATCTTAAGCACCAAAATCAGAAGGGGCTATTGATACAGATAAAGAATTTCTATAATTGTTAAATAAATGGTGGGTATCCTAGTCTGAAAACAGCTGTGTGACTTAAATAACTATGTACTTTCATTTAACTGTATTTTTTCTATCTGATTGAATAGAATTCAATAGATAGAATTTCTGCTATCTGATGTCCATCTCTTTTGTATTTGTTTCTTCATTGCTTCTCTGCATTATCACACTGTATATAAGGCAATCTGAAATAATATCACAAATTGTCCAAAGACTTTTTTTTAAATCTCTGAATAACACTCAGGTACTGAAATAAATATAATAATATCTAATTTAAATGAGAAAGGAGAAAATAAATTAAAAAAAAAAAAAAAGAAAAGTTTTTTTTTTTTAATTGTGGATAAAGATAGGATCCCAATAAATCAAGAGAAAACAATTTTTGGATTTTTGGTTCAATCCAATCCTATCATGTCAATGGAATGAGTCAGATGTTGCCTTAAATGGACCGGGAGAAATTTTTCTATGACTAGGCCATGCTCATCTAGACATCATCATGAGAGAAGTTAAAAAATAAAAAAATAAAAAATAAAAAGGCCTTTGGTCAAAAAACACTAAAAATCTAATTTTTCAAAAGCCACAAAATGTTTCAGGACTTTTAATGACAGACAGAAATACCCTATTTCAGTTTATTTTCACAGGTGATTCAGGTCTGTGGCTCATATTAAACTATATCCTTCCGTTATGCATTTATTACAACCAATAAGTTAGGTGCGTTTATAACCTGATAGACACCTGTGAAAAACAGAAATTAGTTTCTGTTGGTTTAGCTGTAATTTTTATGAGATGTCAAATTGTATTTGGAAAATATCAACTGAATCAATCCCTGTTCATATTAATTGTGGCAGTAGATTATTCCTTGTCTGTGTGATCTTTGACACGCATTAGTTTCTGTTTAATTTTCTCATTTAGGAAAAGACTGAAATCTATGCCCTTTATCATACTCACAGAATTCAGGTTTCTTAAGGCATCTCTTTTCCCATGTTTGTCTTCCTTCCTTACCAAAGCATAAAAAGTGCTACTATAAACCAGGAGTAACATGGGTGAAAACAGACAAGAAAGGAGTAGGAAACATTTTGACACCTTATGGAGGCTGGCAAAAGAGAATTGAAATCACTACAGAGGCCAATATTTTATTTTATTTATTTTATTTATTTATTTATTTATTTATTTATTTATTTATTTATTTATTTATTATTATTTATTTATTTTATTTTATTTTAATCAGAAGATTAATTCAGTAAAGCTGATGCTTGCTGTGGAAGTATATAGTATTTGGCATCTCCCTCCCATTCAAAACCATGGGACCTATTTCCAAATCACAAGAGGCACAAAGAAAGCATGATTTTAGTAGGACACTCCTGTGCTGCATGCAGGTTAGCTTCTTTAGCTTTGACTTCTGCTCTATTTTCTTTAAAAAAAAAAAAAAAAAAAAAAAAGTGACATTGTGGAGGCTTCACTCTTTCATGAAAAGGAATCCCGTTTCTGGCACGAAGCCATCCACAGCCCATTGTCAGCCCAGATGTCAGTACCAGGTGAGATATTGTGGCTCAGTCCTGAAGTCCCTACCTCCATCAACTCTTACCTAGGAAGACAGCCAGATTCAGAAACATCTATGCTTTTTGAAACGTAAGTAGTCGATAAGGAAATTAAACAAGATGATTAAAAAGGCAAGTAACATTAATAAAAATACATACAAGTTTCTGTACTTATTTTAAGAAGCAGTACACCTGTGATTACTATATCAATATCAAAAGCTTATCTTGAAAAAACATATCTTGAAAATCTAGAGGACATATATGTCTCTTAAAGCAAAAACTATTTAAGACAAAAGTCCAATGGGTGGCAGTTGAAAGTATCTAATATCTTTTGGACAATGTGATAAATAAGTGACAGCATTAGACAATAGATAAGATATTCAAGTGGACAAAAAGTAACAGTTTTAAATAGAGTTTACATTCCATATGAGGAAAACAAGCTTTACTATGAGAGTGGTGATGCACTTCAACATGTTACCCAGAGAAGC